GCGCGCACACTAATCCTATAACCAAACAGCCAAGCACAGTTCCTCAGAGACTACTAATAAAGTAATCATAGCAATCGATAGCCACCACCGAGAGGAACTGTTGGCCTTGACACTGCACGAGGACCCCTCGCTGCATCCTGCATGCCTCATCCACTCTAATTTTAGTTAGCATGGACATTTCGGTGCATTAGTGTGTTACATGTGTGTTGTTTGTGTGTAAGCATGGGATGTGAGAAATAAAGGCTTGTGATGGAAAGATTTGGACCTGGCATCCTCTTGTAGCAGTTGTTCTTGTTATTCATGCTGCTGTTGCGCTGCAGCTGCTGCTGCTGTTGTTGTTGTAGTTGTTGTTTTTGTTGTTGTTGCTGCTGCTGCTGCTGCTGTTATTAATTTTGTTGATGGCGGTGGTGTCATCGTTGCTGTTGTTTATTTTGTTTTGCTAGCTTGAGTAAAGAGATGTGCATAGACATAATGAGTCATTAACGCAGGGGGAAAAGTTACTATGCTGTTCAAATAAATTAACGTGGGTCGTCCATTAAAAAAAAGCTAGTGACCGTTGCTTTTTTTCTGCGCCATATTCACAACCAGAGGGGCTCGATCAAATTAAAACAAAACAAAACAAATAAACAAACAATGACGTGGCCAGCCAGCATTGAGACTTCATGGACACGTAGAGGACACTGTCGTCAGCTCCCCTCAAGTCACGCCGAGCGGTTATAATTACACGTTGTAGGCTATGTATTACAATACCTGTTCATTCTCCCAAGGGGGTCACGGAGAGCGAAAGGGATGGGTTATGACAGAACCTGATGAATATTCAAATACTATTCATAGTTGTAGTAGTAGCCTTACAATCTACCGGCAGACCAAAATATAGCGTATAAGCGAGATCACTTTATTCCATTCCCTTCGTCTTTGCCCTGGGTCCTACCAGAGAGTTTACAGTAACAGTAATACCGTAAAGCCCTCTGGTCCTACTTCGCGCTTCACAAGGACAGGATTATGTAGCGTAACGCGACATAGACCGAACGACGAAGACAGATCTACAGACCAACACTGAGGCAGACAAGCAGACGGGCTGACAGACAACAAATAGAAGGATGCGTACAGTAAAACTAAAGAAGCAGACCTAGACATACTTCGGTAAGTGAAAACGAAGAAAGTAATAAAAATGGTCGGCAGGTCATTGGCGAGGTAGGTAGGTCGCTAAGGTATGTGAGTAGGTTAGTAGGTACATACTGGGAAGTCGGCAGTAGTTAGCGAAATAATTAATTTACGAGACTTAGTACGTGCGGTAAGCCGAACGGTAACCGCCGTGTCGCGGAACAGTCCCCAGAGCTTGCGGCAAAGCGGTGACAGAGACAGATCTGGCTGGACACCTGCACCGACTCGCACCGACCGAGCACTACACGGTTGATAACGCAGGCTCTGTTCCGATACGTGGCTGCTTTTAAATACACCGTCGGTTAACATGATCGACTTGAAACGACGAAGTGACAGCACGACGGAGGTTTTTGGCATGTTCGATTGAACTAAAATCAAATGTTCCATTTTTCTTTTTTTTTTTTAAGTTAAGTTTTAGTGCGGCACTTGCAATACAAGGTCATATAAGCGCCTAAGATTAGGGGCGTTATTAGAGAGTAGCCTAACATATTAATAATATATAAATAAAAGAAGGAGAGATAAGGACAATGTTTGATAGGAAAGAAAGATCACATGCCTCTAGAGAAAGAATAAGCTTCCCTATAAGAAGAAAAAAGAACACAAGCTCGGTATGAACTAAATAATGATGCGTTTCCAAAGAGCAAACATAACAAAAAGTGTGTTTCTCAAGAGCACGGAGAGAACAAAAGAGCCAGCCTCTGAGAACAGCTGTGTCAAGTTTCTACGATGATCTGTACCGAGCGGTATAAACGAAGCCATAGAAACCAATGCCAGGAAACCCGATACCCCTAAAGTGATTCACAGGTGTTGCCACTCCAGCCGAATGAATACGTCATCAGTTCATATCTTAACATTAACCAGCTTGGGTTTGCCATTCATTTTTTAAAGCTTTCTTTAAAATCAAACTGAGAAGAAACAGATTGACAGATCAAAAAGAGAAGTACATTGTAAGACAAAAGAAAAACAAATACACAATGGTCTTAAAGAAATTTGGAAGAATAAGGGTACTCTACAGTGGCTACAGCCAATAATACTTTGTTTGGAAGCATGCGCTCTAGAACTAACTAGATTTAGTTTTAGTAAGAGTTTTACGGCATTTGCAACACAAATAGGCCATAGAAGTGCCGACGATTCGAGGTGTAACTAGAGAGTGACATACAAGGAAAAGAAGGAAGAGACAATGACGATGAATGGGGGTTTTTTTTGGGGTTGTTGTTGTTTTTTGGGGGGGAGGGGGGGGGCTCGTTTTCGTAAGCGTTTTGTGGCACTTGCAACACAATAAGGTCAGTACATAAGCGCCAATTTAATGATGTTTGAAAGGAAAAGAGAAGCAAACCACACCTGAGCACCTGTCACCCAACAACTATTCAAGTTCTTACTGTAAAATGAGGGAGGAACTCATTACTAAAGATGAATGCTCGCAATGAGCGGCCAGGTCTCGTACATTGTCCGAGGCCACATAAAAAAAAAAAAGAAAAGAAAAATTTTAAAAACCCAGCCAAATGGAAATTCAAATAAAAACAATAAAAAGCAAACCCAGGCTAATGGGTACACGTGTTGACGAAATACACCCATTCACCACCCGAGTCCATTTCTTCCTTTGCCCCCCTCCCCCACCACATCCCTAACCC